AATATTAAAATAAAATGGGGAAAAATATCCAGCCAGCCAGAACAAGATCCTCTCCTCATAGAAAAGTTATCCCCAGCCAGTCAAAAGTCCCATGGAAGGTCAGAGGAACAGCTGTGCTGGGAGTGCTTCCATTGCTAACTTGTGACAGAGGAAGTTTAAACCAGCCCCACTCCTCAGGGAAAGCATCGCTATGAAGTGGGTCCCTAACTGCCAACATCCAGTGTGGGGGTTCAGCCCTGCCCCACCACGTGCCACAGGGGCTGCTCTGTTCCAAAAACACTGATCCCCTGATCCCTGTGTTCAACACTGGCCTTCAAAATGCTCAGGAAAATTAGGGAAGGAAGGAAAGAAGACGGTAGTAATAGGAGACAATGGAACAAAAATGCATTTCTATCTCTAAACTTATGTTTCAGGAGCTTTGAGTTGTAAGTTAAAATAAGGAAAGCAGAATAAACAGCAGTATCGATGTGGCAGAAAGATGAACCAGGGCTGAAACAAAGGAGTCTTCCTGACTTGGAGGACCAGCTAGGAACCTTACAGCAGAGCTGGAACTGCCTCACAAGGGTTCCCAAATCTTTTCCTTTTGCAAGGAAAGCAGTAAATTTAGTGAGTCTAACAGGAAATAATCAAAGGTGAAATTTCTTACCCTATTCTGAAAAAATGCAAAGTACGAGGAGTGGAAAAGGGCTGAGAAACAGCTTTTCCTTTTGCCTGCTTGTCTCCTGCACTAAAATCAGGACCATAGAGTACCATGGGACTTAGAACACTGCAAAGGGCTACTTTCAGCTATTGAAAGCAAAATTTTCTTTTTCAAGAATACGGCCAGTTCTGGAGTCCAAGAATAGGCTTATAAAAAGAAAGGATTTTACAGTAAATGGAGAGACTTGACTGATGTTGAGCAAATAATTATTTAAACAAAAACTAAGAAAAAAATGCCAAAAGTCTCTTTAATTATTCCAGAATTACAGCTCTAGGTTTATTTAAATTCTTGCTTAAGCAAATGTTTATCCAAACGTGCCATCTCAATGATGAGCATTTCTGCTGTCTGGGGACAGCTTGATGTTTGCTACCCAGAGCCTCTTAAACCCACTTAAAAAGGTAGGAAGGTTTTTTCTCTTTGTTTTTCTATTTGCTTTTCCCTTAACTCCAGCACTGCTGATTGGAAAGGTTTCAGAATTTGGCAAATATCCAGAAATCAGCAAACATCCTTTCTTCATGCTAATTTGTAAGGCTGTAGTAGGTGCTGACTCCACCACTACTGGAACAAGAGGCTTTGTAAAGCACAGCTTTTGTGCTGTGGCAAACCTGATGCTTCAGTATGGTTTGCAAGGCCCACCGTGAGATGGCACAGAGGCTGTGGGGTTTGGCACGGAGCTTCCTCTGCCCATCCCAGGACTCAACTCCCCACTTGAGATCCTTATTGCTACCACAGTAAACAGTAAATGAGGGATGAGGGGGACTTTAAAAAACAGCTACATCCTGTTCTTCAGGCAGGACAACAGACTTGTTTCAGTCACAAGCTGCAATCAGAAGCACACAACTATTCCTCAAGTGACTTCTACCTTCTCTGGATTTTGCCAGCAGTCACCTCAGATTTCATTTTGTTTCACTAAGTGCACTGGATGTTTCTCTGGTCAAGACCCATATTCCTGCTTTTCAGAACTGAAGCAACATGGTAAAATACTGCTAACCCAGACTTTGAACCTGCACTGCTTGGAAACAATGCTTTCCACACACAAGAGAGAGAGGAAAATAAAAACAAAAACCAAAACGAGAATCTTAAAAGAGTGACACTGTAAATTGAAACATTTAAATACAGCAAAACATAAATTCCTCTTCTATGCAAAGCTACAAAAGTCCAGTCTTTGTATTGTCTTCACAGGTTATGGTTTATGGCTATGCTGAGTCTCTGAGATTCCTTTTTTCATTTTTTTTCTTTTTTTTTTTTTATATATTTTTTTCATTTTTTTTGAAATCCTGTAGAGAAGACCCTGCGGACACATCTTTGTGTTTGCAACTTTCTGAATTACATTGCAAAACTGTGCATACAGAATCTGAGAAATAAATACATTCATTACTGCACATACATATTGATACAAAAACAACACTGTCAAATAGTGTTTGCACCATCTTTGTTAGATATTAAGACCAGGCAAAATTAATATTTCATTTTCCATCAGCCCCCCCTCAAATGTTTGAGGTGGCTTTGGTGTAGAAGGTAAAAGCTACAAAGGGTCAAGACTAATGATGGGGAGCTTTCTTAAACCTTTTTATTTTTGGCTTCAGCGGTATTTTAGCAAACCATCTTCATTGGTCATCTTTAAACTGTTCTACCATGCAGATCGGCTTAGGTTTCCACCTAGGCAGCCTGATGAGTTTTGGTTGGGCTCTTTGCGCAGGACTGTAAGGTCTGGAGTGAATCAATGCAGCGGTTTCGTTAAGGGGGCTGCGAGGGCGCGGAGAGCCCAGCCCGGCCCCGGCCCAGCCCAGCCCCGCTCGCACGGGCGGAGGCCGCTCGGTGTCCGGGGCAGGGCTGGCAGCGGGGCTGTGCTCTGCCCCGCCAGCGGCCGCAAAGCCTCACAGAAGCTGCGTGTCAAGAGCTCTTTGGTGTCTTCTGTGATCTTTGTGGCTCCTGCTAACACCCCCAAGTGCACGGAGCTGGGCCTTTCGGGGGCTTTTTTTGCCAGGAATTTGTTTTTGGAAGTTTTGCAGTAAGGACTGGAAAACAGTCCAGCTCCCCATGGCTAAAGTTAAGGAGATATGCTGGGTACAGCAGCTCCCAACATCTTCAGACATCCTTTTTTATCTCTAGAACTTGCATCTCCCTTTGCCCTCTTGGTTCCCTCAGACTCCTCTGAGGAAGAGGGAGGCTGGAATGCCTCTACAATAGTGCCTGGGTCTCACTCCCAGCAACATCTCTCATGGATTGAAGGAAAAAAAAAATTCTGCATGCCATATTTCTAATTGCCCACCCTCTCCCCACCCTCCCCGAGCAGTGCTGGAATGCAGGCTGGGACACAGATCCCCCCTCCCAAGCTGGGGAACACTGCGTAGCCTTCAGACAAACCAATGGAAAAAGCAAAGATTAATTTTGACTGGCCCCTAGATCTGTTGAGGTCTGAAACTGTAAAAGTTTATGTAAACAATGAGATAAATATATTAGTACTTTTCTGAGCCAAGTGAGGTTCCATACTCATTCAAATGTGCTTTGGTTTAAAAAATAGTTTTGTGAATTTGGGTATGAGCTTCTTTATTCTTTTATACAACTTTTGCTATTTTATCTTTTTTTTTTCCTGTTATTCCGAAAACATTCTGGAACTAAGTGACTAAAGCATATACTTAAGCTGCCTGGCCTCTTTTTTTCTTTTTCTTTTTTTTTGTTTCCTTTTAAATTGTTTTACTCCTCTTGAGGCTCTTTGTGTATTTAAAAAAAAATTCAAAATAAAATTAAAAAAAACGAAAATGCAACTCCCTCCCCCCCACCCTAAAACTTTTAAAATCTTAAATATGAAACTAGTGTTTTGCTTTCTCATTAAAATACAGAAAAATGTTGATACAATACTATGTCGTACAAATGCAGTTGAGTGTTTAGGCCCCAAGAAGGCCTGAAACAGTCCCTGAAGTTTTGAGTATTATTAGTAATTCATTATTACTGTCACAATTTGGAAAACGTTGTTTATACTCAGTCTATGGAACACAACTTTACACAGCTATTTGAAAAAAGAACATAATTTCCTTTTGTACAATACTCTTGCTGTACACAGACTTTATGTCGTACTGTTAAGTGCTGGGGAGGGGATTTAAAAAAAAAAAAAAAGATGCTCCAAAAATAATTTTTAAAAAATAGCATTGGGTCCTGAAAGTTCTACGTAATTCTTAAGAAACAAATTAAGAGGGGGCCTGGGGCAGGGGGAGAGGCTACACTACCTACATGTAAAATGGAATTAAGAGAAGGGAGCAGGGGTTTGCCTGCTGAGGAGCCTTGGGCCGCTGCCGGGCTCGGCTCCCTCGGTCCCAGCCCGAGCCGCTGGCCCCAGGTGGCTCCGGCCTGCCCGTCCCCAGAGCCACTGCAGGGCCAGAGCCGCCTCCAAAGCCCCTGGCACGGCCAGGGCCCGTCCCGGCCGGATCCCTCGCGAAGGGACAGAAACCCTGCCCTGGAAGTGGGGCCGTGGCCGGGCGGCTCTCAGGGGAGCCGGAGCGGGGTCAGCTCTGCCTTGGGTGGCTGCGGGGGAGGTAAAGGCGGGGGAAAGTGCCCAGGAGCTCATCTTGCACTGCTGTCCCTGCTCTGCTCAGGTTCGCTCTGAGAGCCAGGTAGATGACACGGCCTTCTCTGTCCTCCCCAAAGACTATGCTGGGGACATTCTCAGGAGGGTTGACAAGAAATCGAGGAGAAAATAATTCAATATCTATTCAAAAATGTGGAAGTGCTAAAGACGCTAAAAGCCCACTTAAGCCCCAAAAAGAAAACAGCGCGTCTCAGCACAATTAGACAAAACCAAAAGTCCCTGCGTCCCTCCCGCGCTCCAGGCTCGCAGGCGTCCGGGAGCAAGCGGACAATGGCACTGGGAGAAGCGCACGGGAGCGGCTGGAGAGGGGCGAGTGTTCCCTGTAACGTGACACCAGGCCAAGGCTCAGCGCCTTTGGGTTGACTATTGCTTGAAGCCTGGATTCCAGTTTCCTCAGTTCATTCAATTGACCCAAAAACTTCTCATGGACTAGTCTACCTAAAAAAAGAAAGGAAAAAAAATGGAAAAAAAAAATATCCAACTAAGCAAAAAAACCCCAATAGAAAACGAAGCTTATATTTCTCTGTTTTAGTCAAACATGCTCACTTTTTTTTTTCTTTTTTGGTCAAAACTTTAAAAAATTGTTTGTTTTGTTTTTTTAAAAAAAAAAAGACAAAACGTGAGGTTTGGTAAAACTTACGCATAGAGACTATACTGGTTTGAGTGGAAAAAAAAAGAAACACCAAAAACCAACAAATGAAAAAATGCAAGTGTAAACCTTAGTCATTTCAGAAGGGATGATTCTACTGGCTGTGAATTTTTACCACCACAGTCACGGGAGGCTTGAAATAAGCCATAGCTTTCCACAAGGTCACGCCAACAAAGTCAAGGGGGCCAAGAATCAGTGGGCAAAGTTCTCTGTCTTCTCTCCTAAACCAATAGCAGCTGTTGGCTGTGATGTCTTAGGCAGATGTTGCAAGAACATTTTGTTTCTTTTTCTTTTCATTTTTTCTTTTTTTTTTTTTTTTTTTTTGTGTGCGTGTGTTAAATTGTCTAAAAGGGAGGATATGAAACACTTTGGTTTGCTTTCTCCTCCTCTCCCCCACCTTATTGCACTCTGGATTCTAGTAAATTATAGGCTGCTATGCCCTCACCCTCTGTCCTGCCAGGTGTTTACAGACTGACCCAGATGTGCTGGGGGAGTGGAAGATGAGGGGGACATTTTCCCCTCCCCATAGTATCCAGACTCAATAAACAAAGCTGGAAAGGGCCCAAAAAGCTCAGAGAAGTTTTCTGCTTTTATCTAAAAGTGACTACAGACAGGCAAGAGACTGCGAATTGAGCCAGTCCAAGCAGCCAGCACAGCCTCTAACTCAGTGTACTTTTTTCTTTGTCTTTGGCCAAGCTTTGCTTTAACATTTCTCTAGTTGACTTTTGATGGAAGGACGGGGTGGTAAAAATCCCTTAACTTTAATTTAGCTTCTACTTTTTTACATTTAATTACTTACAATAAAAGAAAAAAAATGCCTAATCTTTCACTAACCATCTTATTGTTCTCATGAATTCAAGAGGTAGCAAAGGTAACAAGTCTGTCCACACAGACTTGCTCTTTAGTGAGGGAGGAAAGCTAAAAACATACACACACACAAAAAATAAAATAAAAAAAATAATAAAAAAGTACCTATGGAACTTGTAGCAAGTCCAGCCTACATCAAACCCCCTCCCCACCCACCCACCCTAGAATTAACCTCAGACCTTCCAGTTCAAACATTCACATAAACGTTACAATGGTTTTTCCTTTAATAAAACAAGTACCTCTAAGCAAAGAATATTCATACGAAACTACTAGAAAAGTAAAGACGACCCCCTGCTCACTGAAAGAAATTCCCAGGGCATCCAGTCCCTGTTCAGTCATGGGTAAGGCAAAAGAGGTTTGCGTGTTTGATGGGAGAAGGTGGCACGTGGTTACGTGTGCCAAGGACAAAGATCAAAACCGAAATGGGGAGGGATGGTAAGGGAGGCTTCGCCATTTCTTTAAGTGAAGTATTGGGGCTGGTGCAGCCCTGGGAGCTGCTCCCCCCACCATCACCAGCCCAGGGAACGGGAGTGGGCTCCACCACTACTGTGGCTTGCCCACAGTCTCTGGAGGGGCTGCCAACCCTGTGAGATGGTCCACAGACACAGCTTCTGCACTTGAGAACGCTGTTATTTCACAGCTACTTAGGCCACTGAAAAGGTGTACTTTGTTTTCTTTTTAATGGCAAGAAATACCCCTACTGAGTTTGGTTTTAAGAGAGGAGGTGAGTACAGTGACAGGAACACAGAAAGAGCAGGGAGGAGGGAGCCAGCAGAGGGTGAAAGTTCCCCAAGGTCCCCCTACCTGCTCCAGATAAGCAATATGGCAATGAAGTTGATGTGTGCAAAAAGAAGAGGTATTTCTTGCCAGGTCATCAAAATTTGAAGGGAGACTGGGACTAAATGCATCAGCTTGGCTGTGGACCTTTCTTTTTTTAAAAAAAGGGGAAAAAATGAACTTTTTTTTTTAAATGTTAAAGCTACATTTGTTTAGGCCTCTCATGACTGAACAGAGTATGGGGAGTTGCCCCCTTTTTTGTTTTTGTTTTTTTTTTCTTTTTTGTTTTTTTTTAAGCAGCAAGTCTACAGAAAGGTAAATCACTGCGGATGGGCTTGAAGCTCATTCTGGAGTCTTTGGCTTATGTGGGAGAGGTATGCATTCGCAGGTGGCTGATCAGATTGCGCTGCTGGGTGAATTTCCCACCACACAGTTGACATTCGTAAGGTTTTTCTCCTGAGTGGACACGCATATGCTCTGTTAGTCGGTACTGTCGGGTAAAGCGCATCCCACATTCCTCACAAGCAAAGGGCTTGAGCCCCAAGTGGCTGCGCATGTGCCGTGTCATGGTGCCCCGCTGCGTGAACATCTTGCCGCAGATGTTGCAAGGGAAGGGCCGTGTCAGCCAGTGAGTCTTCTCGTGCTGCCGCAGCGTGGCTGGATCCTTGTAGCTCTTCTCACACACTGAACACTTGAAGGGCCGGGACTCCGCAGCATAGGACTGATTGGGGTTGGACAAATCCTCAGCTTCATCCTTGCTGCCGTATGTGCCTTCCTCCTTGATGTAAAGGTCTTCCTCGGTGTGCGTTTCCACGTGGGCATTGAGCTGCTCTGAGCTCGGGAAGCCTTTTCCACAGGGGATACAGACATACAGGTTGTCACCATAGGCCACTGGCTCAAACCCCTCCTGCCGGTAGACATAATTGGCACTGGTGTGGCCGCCACTCTCACTCTCGCTCTGGCCGCTGTCGTCACTGTTCTCCTTACCGTTTTCTACCTCCTCCTTACATGGGTAGGGCAGATCTGCCCCATAGGCCCCAGCCAGGCTCCTCTCCACAGACTTGGACAAGGGTCCCAGCAGGATACCGTTGGGCAGCCCTTCACCCTCATCCCTGTCTTTGCCCCCTTCCTTTCGGTCAAAGGCGTTGTCTTTCTTGATCCACTCCTTCTTGCGGGACCGGAGGCCCTTGCGCTGGCTGCTCTCTGTCAGTGAGTGGTGGCACTCCTCGCTCAGATCCATCTCCATGGGGTCGCTGCTGTCCGCCATGCTGTGGGGGGCTCCGACGCCAGACTCGTCAAACGATGAGGCACTGTTGGCTGCAGGGGCTGAGGCAGATTGGGGAGAGCCATGCTGGCTTTCACTGTGCTGCGTGTCATCGTGGGAGGCTGCAACAGGGAGCGAGGGGCTTTTTTTGGACAGGTCAAGGCCTAGTTCTTGGTCACCGGTGCTCCCATTCGCACTGCTGCTCCCACCACCGTTTTTGCTGGTTCCCCTGCTTAAGGAGTGACAATTCTCTTGGTTGGAGCTACTGATGAAGACCTCGTCATCAGAGAGCTTTCCCTTTGACAGCTCCTTTGTGTGTGAGCCCTTCAACCCCTCATTTGACCCTGAATAGCGAGCTTGGATGACTGAAGCAGTGGAAAGTCTCTGACTTCTGGCAGATCTCCCAACACCAAGGCCACCGGCCTTGCCAGCAAAGGACTTGCTGTTCCGCTTCAGCTTTTTTCTGCAGAGAGCTGCCAGGTCGTGCAGTTGGAGGTAGCTTGCTGCGGTGAGGAGAGCATTAAAGTTCTGTTCACCAGGCTGGTCAGTCGTTAAGAGCTTACCAGTATAAATAAAGTCCAAGATCTGCCGGAACACAGTGGGGTTCACCATGTCCGTGTCTAAGTTTATCAGGTTGTCATGCAGAACAAGGGATTTGAAATACATGCTGCTGGCTGCCAGGATGTTCTTATGGGCACGAAACAGGGCATTTTCTACCACAATGATCACATCACAGAGGAAACCTTTGGCTCGTTGCTGGTTCAGCTGCAGTAGCAGTTGTTTGGCATGATTTGGCAGTTCCATCTCCACCTTCTCTTCCTCTCACCTTCACCTTACCACCTGCAAAACAGGAGGATGAAAGGTATGAGCTTGCTGTTTCCACTAGAACAGGTTACATTTAATAGACTGGTTTAACATAGTGCAGTCTATGTTAGGCTTGACACTGACTAGGGAGATCTGAGTACATTGAGCCCTGCAAGCTGTGATCCTGCTGGGAATACAGAGAGAAATATTTCTCATGCTAAGACTTGATTCAAGTCTTTCAAAAATCAGATTTGTAATTATCTTTTTACAAAAGCAATCATCATTGGCTGGAGTCACTATTCAAAAGATACCGTATGAAAACAATAGTTAGGTACAGGGAAAAGCTGTTCTCTCCTGACACAGATTTGAAGGGAGGATGAGAAGCGAGAAAAAGGAAGAAAAGAGAAGCATCTACTTCACTGTCATTTGCATATCTGAGCATGTAGAATAATTAGCATAAGCTGCAGCTTCCCTACTTTAAAGTGTAGTTTGTTTCTTGGCTGTTAAATGTCAAAATCTCATAACACCCAGCTGCTCTGGGCTTGAGAAAATGACATGTAGCAACTAAATCCATTAAAGATGGAATTACCCACACTGAGGTGTGAATGGGAAACCTCCTTAAGAGTATGAAAAGCTGCTTTAAAAACCACTGCCCTGGCAATGTCCATATCCCAATCCATTGACATGTAGGGTTAGAATCAACCCTCAGCTGGCTGAAATTCAGGATGCTGAGCAAGCCAAGTGTCACCAAATGTCATCATAAATCTCAAACATTTTTCTCAAGTTAATTTTGTTCCGTCTTTAATTTTGAAAGAATTTCGTTTAAAATAATAGAGTCAAGTAACATATCTTAAAGTCACAGATTTTCTATCCTGAAATACTGTAAAGAGAGGAAAATATAGTTCATGCATTTCACAAACAGTAGTCATGATGTATTTTAGTTTAGATGTTTATATTGGCCTTCCCAGTACTATGGACTGTAGGAAACACCCAGTTTGTGATATATCAGAACTAACTGCAGTTGCATATTTGGTAAATATTACAGTCCATAAAACCCAGAATTCAATCTGGGGCTGCATTTGGGAACCCAAGATCAGTATTAGTTTTTTTTCCTTTGTTGGTTTATTTTGTGTTTGTTTGAAAGTGGCAACTGCTACTTGCATTTATCCGTCAAAGTTGATTTAAAATAGTTTCTGAGGTTCAAAAGTAGGAATTAAATACCAAATTTACAACAATCACCATTTAGCCCTCTACTTCTTTTCTTCCTTTCCCAGTTCATCATATTATTGAAACATTTCTCTTATTGAAGGAGAAGCAAGCCATAAATACAGAGAAATAAAGAGCTTAAGTTTTCTCTTAAAATCATCATCCATTAATTTTTTTGTTGTTTGTGGGTCTTACTGTCACACTGTCCCATCAGAGTTCAAATGATGAAGCATTAGACTCTTTTCCAAGTATAGGTATGCAACAAAAAGAAATAAGGAGTGATGCAGTTAGTATAAAAAAAAATGCTTCCCTCAAACCTCATTCTTACTACCTGGTGATAAATAGAATGATTTAATTTGGCAGAAAGGTGGTAAATTTACATCACTTCTGCACAATAGAGACGTTTTGCTTTATGGAAAAACCTACAAAATAGTAAACAAATGCAATATTTCCTCCAGATCTGCCAAGCAGGTGCCTCCCTTCTTCCACAGGACATAGCTCTTCACTCGTTTGCTGGTCAGCCTGGTGCTTTGCTGGAATTTTTTGGTGGCTTTTCAGTGCAGCAGCACCTAATTTAGCATCCACACAGATCTCTCTGGCTCACCACTCTGACCCACAGCTAAAAAGGCTGCTCTGCCTTTCTTATTTTGTTTCAACAATGGATGGCAACCCAAGAAGATGGTGGATTCACTGCGTGCCTTTGTGCACATGGATGTTGCTCGATGGCTTTAGAAAGGGTGGCAGCCAAAATGAGGAAGTACAGGCTTGCCATGGTGCTAGTTCCACCTATAGTGTTTCTGTAATAGAAACTCACCCTGCAGAATCAGAAAAACATGACAGGACAGGGGCTATCTCCACCAAGCAGTGTTGAGCACTTTAAAACCAAGTTTTGATGTAATTAGTCACATCAGAGTTGCAGCACAGAGGCAGCATGTTTGGTTCTAGTGGCTTGCTTCCAGAATTGCTGATTAAGGGGAAGAAGCAGCAGCAAAAAGACACAAAATACCCACTTTTATCTAGCCAGGTCACTAAGAGCCCTTACTTCTGGGTCACTGAGATACATCGATAGGGGAGGACAAAAACAAGGCTTGCAACTTCTCAGCATCTCTCTATATGAATATATCCTGCTCAAGATAGCAAGAAACAGCCTAGTGCTACAATTTCACTACATAATGGTGCTTTGCCATGCATGTAACACACAAAATCCCTGGGTATGATTCTTAAGTGTTCCATAAAGGACAAATATGGGAAAGGAAGGGAAATAGTACAACCAGTATTTCCTGCCTAAACAAAGTAGTAGTAGTAATAATAATAAAATAATAATAATAAGTTACTGAAGGAAAAGTGGGCTTATTTCCCATTGATGTGGCACTTAAAGCAGAGGTGTAGAAATCACTATATACGAGTTGTCTTAGCCTTAACGCTTGGAACAGCTATTAATGCAGAATGTTTTACTTTTTTTTCCTTTCTGCCTTAAATGATATTAAAACCAGGTAATGAGCCTGCAGAGAAATCCCTGGAAACAGAGTTAGAATTCTAATTCTGCTACTCACATTAATGAGAAAGATAATATTATTAAACTTCAGTATGTTTTGCAGCATAAAAACTAGCATATTACAAGTTGTTTAAACTACCTGTATTTATCTCACATGTCAAATTTTACAGAACTGCTCATGTTCAGTAGGACATATGTATGACGTAGGCTATTACCTTCAGTAGATTTTTAAAACAGTGGTCAGGTGTCAGCAGTAAAACCCTGCCTATCAAATTTAAATTTGTTAGCTGAAGTCTAACGTGGATTTAACAACCCCCAAAAAATGAATGTAATTAATCAAGGCAGAAAAACCTTCAACCAAGCTTAAAGCACTGTGTTTAAAATGTTTTCAGAATTGCCCAGCAAGGGTTTTGACCAGAACAGGAACATGGCTCAGAGAACACTCGTTTGGCTGACATCCCTTTGTTGACAAAAGCCTTATAGCAGCCTGCCTTGTGTATCTTGTGCAATCCTCAACAAAAATAAATCCAGTCCAGATATTCTCCAGAGGTGGCCAGTTACAAACCCTTCTTTGACAATGATGCATTTCAGAGGTGGAGGAAGAAAGGTGTGTTGGAAAAGCTGTCAGCAAAAGAGAAGTAGGCATTATTCCTTAACTTATAGCATTCCTAGAAACTCACTTCTAGCTGAAAGCATGGGACCAAGGACAACTGTGAGTTTAAATCCTGTGTAAAAGTTATCTGCCCATACAAATGGCAGGTGCAGCCTTATAGAAAGGCCTTGCTAACCATTAGTTTGCAGAGAGTATCTCTTAACAAACCATAACATTTGAATAACATCACCACAACCCTCCAAAGCCCTAAAAAAAACCAACAAAAAAACACAGTGGGTTTATACATCTTGTATTTCAGTATCATTTTTAATAACCCTTCCTTTTCTGTTTTCTGAAAAAAAACAGAAGAAACACTCCCAGTTCAGAGGAGGCCTGGTTCAGAAAAGGCTCAGATGCATTTCTAGTAAAAAAGCTCAACCCCTCAGGCATACATAGCTGTCTCACTGGGGCCACAGTCTTTGGACAAATAGCAGCAGTGATGATCTTTTCCCAGATTTAGGCTGATTACCTCACATTGAAGACACACTTTTTTCAGAGCAGTGAACCTGCTCAAATATTCCTATGCAAGGAGGGAATGAAACAAGACTAAGGCTCTCCACTACCTCCACCATACCCATGACACTGAGACACAGCACATGCAAAGACATGAGAAGTACAGGGCACAAATCACAGAATACAGTAATGCTGCAAGCAGATGCCACACATCAAACAAAGCTTTGCAAGCTAAGAGCTGACAGCATCTTAATAAGCAATATTGCCCCAGGAGCTGGGTAACTGTGAGCTGCTGTGCCCAGCCTGGGGCACACTGTGACCCCCTGGGCAGCAAGGTTGTGCACAACACACAGGCTGCTCCTGGAGCTGTGCTGCTCTCACTGCACAGCAGGAAAAACTTCATTTGCTCTCAATTTGCACAAAGACTCTGGACATCACAGAAAATGAAATTGCTAAACAGAGGAGAAGAGAAATCCCTTCACCCCTTTCAACAATATAAAGTATACATATTCACTGCAGGTTTGATTCTCTTTAGTATCACTAAATCTCCTCCTAAAAGTAATTACTGAATGAATGCTAAATGTGTTATCTTAGCAACTTCTGGCAGGAGATGCTATTTGATTTCATCTCTGAGTTATAGATTGCAGCACATGAATATTGTTTACCTTTTAAGAAGCAACACCAGTGAAGCAAAGAATCAATCAAAAACAGATCTAAGGAATCACTCATTTCACGTAGAGGATTTGTGGCTGGATGAGAAGGCTAGACACCGAGCACCTGAACAGTGAGCTAACAGTACTGCAGATAAAAACCAACAAACAGATTAGATGTGATGTATCAAATTAGATGCTGTTAAAACGTCAGCCTACTGTGCATGTTACAATAGACCCAGGAAAAGACAGTGGCCTGCTTACTTATTTCTCCACCTTCCGAAGCACTGAGCAGACACTGCAGCAGTGAGCATGGAGAAGAACAAGACAAAAATCAAATCCACGGCTTCCTACATTTCTCTCTCCCGCCAATTTATGACACTAAAAATGCTGTGTCCAGCTGCTACTGGAACCGAGTGAAACTGAAACAGATGACTTCTGCACTCTTCCGTTTCAGATGGAGCAACTTTTTTTTGAGTACCTAACAACCCCACTGGGAAGAGAGCTTTCCTGTTCCTCACTGGCTCATCTGATCTTCCTTTCCTCACATCCCAACAGAACCAGGACCCTCAGAGGTGTCAGTGTAGTGGGTGGTTCACGGCCACTAACCTGCCCCCAGGAGTTGCATTTGGCAGGTCATTAGGCCATGACTTTCAAAGGTATTCACATTCTAGAACAGCAGAAGAATGGGGAGAAGTTCTGGAACTGTGTTAGTCCAAATGGTTCCCTATCCCCAGCCCCTGCGAGCAGTCAGACAGCAGAATTCAGAAGCTGAGGCACAAACATGCATTTTCATCATTCGCAGTGGAGCAGCAAAAGCTCTGTGAAGAAGGCTCAAGCAGAAAACAGGATGCAGCACCCTTGTTTTTCTCACACAAATATTTAGCACTTCAAAATAGCTAAGATCCACATGTGAAGTTACTCGGGCAGAGGTCTGCAGAGCTAGGGGAGGGAGAGAACATGCAGGACAGAGCAGGATGTGCAGCCGATTTTTGAGGGTATGGGCATGGAAAAGAGAAGGAAAATGGAGGATGGAGGATCATTTTGCAGAGGATACCACATCAGCAAACTGAAAGTGGCCCTTGTTTAGTTTGTTACATTCCAATTAGTGCCAGGCAGAACTGCCCTCCCTGCTCCCTGAGGCAGCTCTTGCAGGACTCCGCAGAAACGGCACAGCTTTGCTTAAGGACATGAGCACCTGTCTGGTACCTCTGTGCGGCAACGTTTGGATATTTGGGACGTGGGCAATACCTGCTCAACTGCTACCAGCTCCTGGCCCAAAAAGGAGAGAAAAAAAGAGTGAAATGATTTCCCAGTCTCTTCTCTCATATTCTAGAATAGCAAGGAGAGTCTGACATGGCTAAGCCCTTCTCTACTGCATGGCAAACTTCCCAGGGAAAGGGAATCTCCATGGGTGAAAAGGGTAAGGTCCCTGTGTGCACGAAAGCACTAAAATCAGGAAAGCAAAGTGATTTCCAGTCAGTGCAAGGCTGCAGCAAAGCAGGAACACCTTGCTATACAAGCTGAAACTATGAGCAGTAGAATGCAGATTAACCACTTGGTTGCCGCTTACCATGCCAGGTACATTGGGCTAAAGGCACCTCCATCCAGTGCTGCCCGACGTGCCAGGTACATCCCATGATGTTCCATTGAAATCACAACAGGCCATCAATAGAACGTGGCTGCACGGATGCAGAATGGAGAACCAGCAGGGACGCTGTTAAATGCAATTAAAATACTGCAATCAAAATTGAAACGTACATTTTAAAACAGCCGCCTGCCTTAAATATGTAACTGCTAGAACAACCTCCCCTCCACCCATCTCCCCACAGCTGTTGAACTGTGACGGAAGCAGAACAGAAAGACTCTGCAAGTTTCTTACTGATGCTCCTCGGCCATTTGCGTTCATGACTCCCATCAGCACTGAGCTTCAGGGGGACCAGTTCACATGTATTCAAAACCAGCAGATCCCAGGATATCTGCACCAGCTTCCTTCTGCCCCAAAATTCAGGCAGTGAATATCATCACCATTTAGAAATCCTCTATGACAAGAACAGCCCGATGCCAGAGCTTCATGTCTCATTCCTGACACAGTACAGGCAGCAGAAGAAACTCTTCAAACCTGATCTGCTGTGTTGTCCCTGTTACCCTGTCCCACTTCCCCAGCCTTTGAAAATATCTTCAAGAGATGTTATGGCATTGGGCCAGGCTGGATACTTTGGTGTAAGGCAGAGAGAAGAAGACACTGTATACCCTCTCCTATTTATAAGGATGCTTCACTGATAATTTAATCTCCATTCTTGGAGAGCAGAGGTCAAGTTGATTCATGGTGAACTGCAGCTTGTATGAGCGTCGCAAAACTTAAGATCTATAATTCCACCCTCCCCTGCTCAAAGGAAAAAGCAACATCATCTTTTCCATGTCAGGGAAAGGCACATGTCACAGCTACCCTAGGTTTGACAAGCTGGTTGTGTCCTAAGCACAGGTTCCTTTCTACAAGTAATGATGAAAAAATAAAATAAAATAAAATAAAATTTTAAAAATAATAATAATAAAAAATAAAAAGCCCACCAAAAGCCAGTACAGAAATAAGCCTGCATCCTGGCAGGGATTTAACATAGGTTTTTTGACCCTCATGGTGAAGTGAAACATGTGCATAGCTCTTATCACATTGATGGTTGTGTCTCTCCAGCTGTGTTTCTGGAGATATAAATCTTACATTTAAAAAGTGAGAATGCTATTGATTATCAACCGTAAAGATAAAAGGCCAAATGAAAAATATCTATAATACTTAATGTTGATTGAGATCATAAAGCAGGACAGAGGCCTGAGAAATGGAACGGGTTGTCGTGAAAAGGACAGAGTATAAGAAGGTAGTTCATTCTTCCTGAATATCCTCTGGTCTTAGGCCCAGGACAGTGTTCCCATCATTGCCACCTGCATACTTATCCCCACAACTCTGTAACCAATTCCCTTTCACACTGAACTAATAGGTCGTTTGTATTCAGATCACTCTGTTTTGACTGCTGTAGGCTGAAGATTTTCAAATCTTGTCAATACAATGAAGAAGTGAAATGTAAGCAACTGTTTGCCTACTGACCTGGGCTGTGCTGAGCCAAGAGCATTCACTGAACTAGTCTGAACAGACCACTGCCAGCATGAACAGACCAGCCCACAGTTAACGACCACACTTGAAGCACAATGGGCCAGAGCCTCAGGAATTTGGAGCTCCCTCCTCTCCAGAAGATCACGCTCTGCACAGCATTTAAGCAACCTGAACTCCAGCTGCATCTCCCAGCATCACAACTCTGCAAAACCCTCAGCAATACCAGCAATTCTCAGTTTAACACAGGCTGAATGCTGCACAAAGGTATTCCTTGAACAGCAGCTCAAAGACGAGGTTTTTCCCACCCAGATTACATCAATTTGCTTCTTGCTACTGTGAAGCAAGAGCTCTTCTCCATAGTTATATTTCTCTTCAAGGGCAGAGTTTAGCAGAGAACTGCTTCAACCAAAGGTGTTTCCTACTGTTAGAACATCTCAGTGCAGTCAGAAATTAAGCTTCCCGCCAACTCCTAAACAGGGTGCTTGTATATTGTACATTTATTGTCACTGCTGACACATAGGAGACTAGGACTACCCAAACCTCTACTGGGAGGAGAAGGGGAGAGGAATGGACATTGCAGATCTTGTCAGCCAGAGAGTCCAGCACTAAAAATTCCTGCATACCTCAGGAACAGAGCAGTGGCACAAAACAAAGTTTCAGAAGCTCATGACCACTTAGTGGTCCGCAGAAGAGTCTGGGCTCTTCTCTTCCTACAACAACTGAGCAAACTCAGTTTTAGTTGTACCTGCATTGTAAGTAGTAAAGGCAGCTCCACTGTCCAATGCTAATCTCATTTAATTCATTTATTTACTCCCTATTGCACAAAAACAACAACAACATATTTAATGAAGTAGCTGAAAGGCCCCTTTGGTATGCAAAATTTCTGTTTCCCAGCCACCTCTGAGCCTGTACAGAATTCTCCCTTTACAATGCAAGAATTTAGGACATGACTAAAGGATCGTTGCTACCTCCCAGTTAATCCTAGAGAGTGTCAGCCTTGGGCCCTGTCCTTCAGTAAAGTAGGCCACTTGGCAGGGGGTGCATGGGTTGGCAGCCTCACGCTGAGCATGGCTCTGAGGGCAGGAGCACACCCAGCACTGTGGAGAAGGAGGAATGTCACGACCCTCTTCCAACCAAGACTGTCCTACAGAACACTCCCTGCTGCAGCACTGCTTTAGGGCTCTGAGTCACCACAGGTACGAGCTGATAGCAGGTTGTGAAATGCAGCAATACCGGAGCAAATGCATGACCCTTTCCACTGTCCCCGCGACTGGGGAGAGATCTCCAGGACAGGGATAAGGCAGGCAGCTGGAACTAGTGACTGTGACTCAGACTCCTTAGTTACATGGTTTGTTAGAGCAAACAAAGCCTCAGAGCACTAGGAAAAATGGGAGCAGGTTTGATAAAGATCCTCCCAATTGGCCTGTTTATTTTCATTTCTTGTGTGGACTCAGCAAACGTTTCTGCAGAGAGAAGCAGTCTGCACAGGAGCATCTGCATACACAACACTGCTAATACCATGAGCTTGCAATAACACCGAGTTTCCATGCTGAAGGGTGTAGTAACTGTATTGAACCAAAATGTCATCTCTCTCACCATATGCCAGATACCAGTGAGCACAAAACAAGCATTGCTGTCTTGTTTTTTTCCAATAAGAAAAAACCCCTCATTCTCTTTACCCATATCTATAGCTCCAGCAACAGTTATTAATATAAATGATACCTTAAATGGAGCACTTTTAGCACTTACCCACATTTTTTCACTTTGCTTTTCCCCAAAACTTTACCTTATACTCAGCCCTGTACTTAGCAAAGAAATCTTTGGTTTTAAGTTTCGCTTTGGTGAAGTCTTTCAAGCAAACCACTATAACAGTTGGTCCCGGCAGTATTAAGACTGTACTGCCTACCAACCATCCCTCCAAATCAGATGCTTCACCCATCATCCTGAACCCTTGTTTTTTGGTTATTTGCATCCACCAAGAAGTCTCAGCACATCTGAGCTTGGCAAATGAGAGGAGGCCAGAAAGCCACTATTGCTTGTAAAAGCAGAAGGCCTAACAAAGTTCTGCAAACTGCCCATATTGCATCCAAATCTCTCCAAGCTGAAGATGACCTAATGGGAAAGCAGAGTTTACTCACTTTCAGAATTCTTCATTTCTTTGGCTGCTTTTCCTCAACCCCTACTTCTTATTTTGACTGTTTTATTCCTCTCTCTTCTTCGCTTGAGACTTCAAGCATTATTTAAACTCAGCTCACAGATTGCAGGGAGGTCACTATGTATGTTTCCAAAATCCACCTCTTCCCAGCAAAGCTCCCATCCTGCTGGTTTTGCCCTGCAGAGCAGTGGTCCAGGGCTGAGATATGTCAGGCCAGCCCTCCCTGACAAGACAGCTTCTCAGCCTGGGGGATTACAGCCCCAGGCACATTAGGAAAGGCAGCCCAGCAAGGTCATGGGGTGTTGAAAACTTTGCTACAGTCCAAAGCACAGGATCTTCCTCTTTTCCTTCCCTACACACTATTCTTGTCAAGGTCAAGAATTTCCTGGCAGTCCTCAAAGTACACAAATTATAGGCTTTTGTCATGAATTAAGACTTAAAACTTCATTTAAAAAAAATAGAAGGGGTGGAGCAAGGCAGGGGGGAAGGTACTTTTGGCTAAGATTTGGTTTTGAGAAGGGGATTGAGAGTCTATGTATGTGCTTTACCCTGTAATCTGAAAGCTCCTCAGGACAGGACCCTTAAAAGTATTTTCTGCTGAACCATATACACATCCTAGAGCAAGAGAACCAGCAGCTCCCTGCATCCGTTCCGCTCTGTTCAGCTTCTCCTAAATCAACACTGCCAGAAGGCAAGACAGCACTATAACAAATTAGCACCACTCACAATTTGTTGAAGTTGCTGTTGCATTGTTTGTTTATTTAAAACACGCGCAAGCACACACACACACAAACCTCCCGAGCCTGCTCTCTGCTGCCATCCCCCAAACTCCAGATTTGTGGCCTGAGAGAGGCGAGCAAAGGCTGTGGATTAAACCCATGCAGAGCAGCAGCCACCGTGCTGGGACTCTGCTTGGGTTTTACTCTTTCACTACAAGCAAAACCAAAGAATGTCCACATTATTCCAGCCTGGAACATCATGGTGTAGAAATCCTTATTTCAGCACCTGATTAGGGAAGTGTTGTTAAGAAAAAGAAAGAGCCACAGGCTTGGAAGGACCCAGCGCTAATACAACTCTTAATGCTAATGCTATTTATGAACATCCAAGGGATAATCTGCACCCCTTATCAGCCCACAAGATTATAAGATCTTTAAAATAGGAAACATGTCTTACTTCATAAAGCACTGTATAAGTTTACAAAGCACAATATTAGTGGTAATAAATAATTGTCAAAGTCAAGCACAGAGGTGGCTGTAAAACCTGCAGCACCATCGCTGTTTCCATTTCATTCTGAGCTCTGGGTAATAGCACTGTAGATTCACTGGTTGTGCTGTCTCTTATGCACCAATCTGGTTTTATTTTAAGAGATCGTTTGGGAAATGTGCTATGCTTATACTCACAGGAAGAAAGTAATGTTTGATCATGAGATGGTCACAATGAGGGTGATTTTAAAGAT